GTAAGCAGCGAAAACTAAAGAGATGGAAAAGGCAGCGGCGATTGGTAACAGTAGACAGCTATTTAGACTTATTAAGGAGGCTGGGCGGAAAGGTCAACGACAGTTAGTGAGGCTATAGCGGAGAAGCACGGATCTGCGATTCACTCGCAGCGGAGACGACTGGGACGGTGGGTTGAACACTTCGAGAAGCAGTTTAACTGGCCTCCAGCCACCATTGCGTTGCCCGCTATCCAGTCGGATCCTGAATGGAACATTGGGAGAGGCCCCTCAATACTAGGAGAAGTTGAGAGAGCGGTAGGTAACCTGAAACGAAGAAGAGCGGCAGGACCAGACGGACCACCTGCTGAGGTATTCAAGGATGGTGTAAGGTGCTAGTCAGGTTAACAGAAGTGTTAGCTAGTATATGCGAATCAAATACGACTCCGTCTGACTGGTCTGACCAGTCTTCAAGAAAGGCAAGAAGTCCTCGACGCCTGATTGGAGCTCAGAAACAACAAGCCCGAGAAAACCAAGCAGGCTTTAGACCTGGCCTTGGGTATATCGACCAAGTATTCACACTATGGCAGGTTTTGAAACATAGATACGCTTACCGGAGCCCGATACTGGCTGTATTTCTCGACCTGAAGGCGGCATTCTACTCCGTTGATCGAGAAGTCTTATGGCAATGTCTCTCACTGAAAGGCGTGCCGAGTAAGTACATCACTTTATTGAAGGCTGTCTACTCGAACACCTGCGGGCGTGTTAGAACTTATGGTGAGATATCAGGTGAGCTGTACTCATCGAGTGGTGTCTGTCAAGGGTGCCCACTCTCTCCATTCTTATTCAATTTTATCATCGATATTCTTATGGAGGTTTCCCTCTCGTTGCCTGATTACACAGATGCTGACCTAATCGCAGGAGAATTTTCGTTAGACCTAGAATATGCAGATGACATAGTCCTGTTGGATGAAGAGGCTGACAAGGTGCAGTCTTCTGAACACTTTGATTGGCAATTTGAGAATGTTTGGCATGCGTTTCTCACCACCCAAATGCAAATTGCTGCTCCAGGATTGGCCTTCAATGGTGCCACGGCTAACAATAGAGAGTGAAGTGGTTGAATGTGTTGACCACTTCACTTACCTCGGAAGTAGGATCAGCCCTGCCCCGTGACTCAGTGGCCGATGAAATCCCTGAATGAATAAAAAAGGCTCGATTGGCTTTCACCAACTTACGCCACCTATAGCGCCGCCGTGATATCTGATTGTCTACTAAGGGTTGCGTGTACTGCACAGCAGTCCGGTCCGTTCTAGTGTATGGCTGTGAAAAATGGCCATTGAAGGTGGAAGACATGAGAAGGTTTCAGGTGTTTGACCACCGTCGCCTTCTTAATATAAGCCGTATTCCGTGGTGTCACCACGTCAGTAATGCAGAAGTCAAGAGTAGAGTTTTAGGGAGAAGAGGTAAGTTGGCTGACGGGGTTATGAATCTTCATCGACTGAGATGGTTGGGACACGTGTTACGTATATCTAGTCACCAATTGCTTCGTCACGCAATGTTGGCCGAAGTAGGTCCAGGCTGGAAAAAGGCCCGAGGTGGCCAGACTAAAACATGGCACCAATGTATGAAGTCCCTGACTGTTGGTTTGAGTCATGTGGGGGGGGGGGGTTGATGCAGACTTGGTGGTTGGGGTCCATGGGACAAGAGGAACCAGTGGTTGGAGACTCTAGCCGATATGGCTCAGAACCGATGTCAGTGGTGCAGATGTATGCATACATTATCCTCATCTTAAAGACGCTATACCGGGTCTCACCACTTTCTCATTCTTCGTTTCTCTCTTCTCATACTTTATATTTCTTTTGGCTGAGTTTTCTTTTGTTCATCTTGCATATGATATGAAATGTGGCAACTCGGACCGTTACACAGTAATGCCTGGTCCTAGGTTGATCAGGATGGATGGATGGAAGTGCAGGTCATTGATGAATTTCCAATATGTATTAATCAGATCCGACCTCTGAAATCTAGTTACTGAAAACACTAAACTGATGAAGTGTCTAGGCAAACGTCACTTGTATTCGAAGTTAATATCGCTCCACAAAAATGTTAGTACACCCATAAGACTCAGCAGTTGACAGGTTTTCTAAGTTCATAGATTATTTACTTGACATTAGTTATTCAAGTCCTTTCATTAGTAGTTAGCTGAATATCTCTTTTCCAGACCTTAATGATGTAAATGGTACCACGTAAATTAGGTTTAGACTGGTGACTCATAAACCTATTGTACAACGCTGTGGATTATGAAGCCATTGTTGCTGAATTTGTCATTCAGTATGAACAACACCTATTGAGGGGCAGGTATATTCAATTTATGAGTCCCCACCAGGACGAAATGGACATCCTAGACTCCACTGCTAGTCACTATTCATCATTGGTTTCAGCCTAATATGCATATTTTCCCCCTTCATATTATTTAGCGTAATAAACTGTAACTATTCTCTTTTGAGTTCATACCTTCCCGATGCTGGATGGTGGTTGAAGGTGAAATGATCGTGTCACAGTTGAAACTAGAGGTTGCTAGTTCCCATCCTGCCATGACTGAGGTTCTCAATTCACTTTCAGTCATCACCCAGTGTTAATAAGAAACATTTCGATAAGCCATGACTATTCCACATGATCTCATGGATATAAGCCTCAATGAATAAGTAATTTATCATTGCCTCTTATCAGTTCGTATTTGCTACAAATTTTGACTTCCCTCAGTTTTTGACAACACAGCAACATACATAAGCGATTATACGATTCCTACAAGTTATGTAAGTCTTCAGCTTACAGATGACAGTCCTCTAAAACCATATAGTGTTAGGGGAAGTTCGATTAGGCTGGGAGAAGGTTCAGGATGAGCAGACCAAGATCTGGCAGCTGTTGAAGAAGCTTCTTACTGTTGTCTTGTAGAGTGCCTGGTTGAAATCTTCAAGATGAAAGGAATGAATGGTGAGGACTCTTGGTGACATGGCTGGAAACTGGTCACAGTGGTGTAGATGTATTCACTTGCTGACATCTTCTAAAGCTTGAATAATGGCACTAACCTTTTTTTCAGGTTGTTTATTCTTTCACGTTATTTTCTGGTCTTAAATATCACTCTTTCTATCCCCTTGTTTTTGTGTACTACTGTAATATGTGGCAACATGAGCCTATAAACCTGTGTACAAGGTTCTACGTTGGTTTTGTCAGTCAGTCAGTCGTATCACCAGATTTAGAATATTCTGTCCTAAGTCAACTCATGGCAGTGCATACTTTTATTTCTCACTATTGAAATTGCCTAGCAATCGAGGGGTATCTGAATGTACTGCATAAAGTATCTACGCTCCAAATCTCTTTAGGCAGGTTATTAACTTCTACCCAGTTTTGATCATAAAACTTTTATTTCTTTATCTAAATAGAGAATTAAACAACAAAGGACTTTAATTTTTGGCAAATACCTTTTTATTTCCTGAATATTTGTTATTGATGATGTTTAAATGTGATAGAGTCATTTCAATTTAATTTGATCGATAACCTTTAAGTACAGATCCAATGTCTGTGAAGAGGATTCATAAAACTATCACCAGAGATAAGTGTGCAACAATAAACCAGGATCTCACTTCACTGAAATTAACAATGAAACTTCAACTAATGTATTTCGTTATTGAAATTACAGTTTACAGAAGCAATTGTTAATAAAGAAACTTTGAATCTAAGTGAAATTCTCAGTTTTCAACATTTATGCCTATTAGAATTAGTGAACTAGAATAAAAGTAAATGCAACCCGAGAGATAGGTGTTACCTTTACGTGGTAGTCGGGCTTGCATATCACAATGACCCAACGAGCTATGCTGGTGGAACACTTGTCCCCTCGAGGTCCTACAATACCAGAAAGATCTGTTGGATGATGGTAAGACGAAAAGCAGTAACCGTTGTGGTGTAAATAACTACACTATGATGGGAGTCTGAGGGCGAAGTCGTATTGCTGTTAGCTGGATGGGGTGTGACAGCAGTGAGGTGTTTCCTTTGGATGACCAGCAGTTTCATGCTGGTGCTGCCTTCTCAATGGAAGGAGGGGGGTGGGTGGGTTAGAAAAGGTTGGCCCCGAAAATAACACACTCCACCATGCCCCACGGTCTGCCGGGCCAGCGGTGGTGGTTCATTTATCGTTTCCTTTCAACTATCCGGTCCCCAAAATACAAAAGTTCAAAATAATCATACTCAAAAATGTACGTGTGACAGGCCCCAAGCATATGTTCGATGGGCTCTGTGGTCACAGAAATCTCTTCCAGGTACTTAAAGGAGAAATATCCTTCCACGGTGTGGGCAGCTGGGACATGTCAACCACCCTTACAACTCGATCAGCACTCAAGTTTCCTCAATAAAACTCATCCAAAAATCATAAAAGGAAAATCATTGTATTATACCTAGAACACTTATAACTAGATATATTCAAAACTCTTTAATATTTTTTTTTAAAACGAGATATAAGTTTTCAGAATCCTTGGCTATACTTTTCACTTCAAACTGTATTCTAAGCATATATGATTATAGCCTTTTTGATTTCCGTTTTAGTCTTCCATACAACTACTTTATTTCTTAAGAAAGTTGTAATGTCGATGAGAGTTAACCTTAATCAATACTATGCTTCATATACTTCTTGTTTTACAAATCTTGGTAAATTTTTAATAAGTTTACATTTAAACTTTTCAAGGAAACACATCTGTAACTAGGTAACGCATTGTTTCCTGTTCAATAAAACTTTCATTTCAATAGTGCTGATTACTAACCAATTTTAGATTCTTGTATGTATGTTTATGCAAAAACTGTCTTAATATATACATGTCTATGTATAACTTTTTACACAATTTATAGTGCTTTGCACCACTTAGTATTATTTCATGCATAGAGTAGACTTACTCTATACTCATTATGTGTATTTTCATTTTTGATTTTGTTAAGTTAGTTTTTTTTTCCATGTTTTTTTTTCTAAACTTCTCTAGATATTTGAAATGGTTGATGCTAAAGCACGTAAAGACTGCATAAAAGAGATAGATTTATTGAAAGTAAGTCATTTCCGAATTAAGGGAAAATTTTTGTATTGTATTATGGATTGCAACTGTATTGTGAATGATATATTATAGAATGGAGAAGGTTCAGGAATAAAGATCTCCAGATAACCGTGTGCTACTTACCCATCTTACCTTTATATTAAGTAACTTGCAGTTCAAATAGCTATTTGGCTATGTCTTTAAATACAGTACTGGATGAAATGAATTCAAATCTCTGAGAGAGAGCACCAGTTTATTTTAAGATGAATGGAGATTTTTAATTTAGAAGTACTATTCATCATGGACTGACATCAGTTGGGGAACCATTGAAAATCTGGCAGCACTGGACAGCTGTTTCGTCCAACCAGTATGGGACTCCTGAGCAGTATGCACCCACGACCCGACTAGGGATGGAACTCAGGGCTTTCAGGTTTCATGACGAAAGCGTTAACCATTCAGCCAGTGGGTCGGTTTCCAGTGGTTCACAATTTTTAACTTCTGTCAATTCACAACATAGCGTGACTTTCACCCAAGTTCTTCAGTTGACATCCACTTCATTTCCGACTCATCCCAAAAATATATTACTCTATAGTGCTCAATAGTGACTTGCTTCCACACAGATATCAGGAAGTTCTAATGAGAAGCCGTGATCTGTGGGGTTAACCAGTCGGAAGTGAAGTGGATGCTAACTGAAGACCTTGGGTGAAAGTCACGCTATGTTGTGAATTGACAGAAGTTAAAAATTGTGAACCACTGGAAACCGACCCACTGGCTGAATGGTTAACGCTTTCGTCATGAAACCTGAAAGCCCTGAGTTCCATTCCTAGTCGGGTCGTGGGTGCATACTGCTCAGGAGTCCCATACTGGTTGGACGAAACAGCTGTCCAGTGCTGCCAGATTTTCAATGGTTCCCCAACTAATGTCAGTCCATGATGAATACTACTTCTAAGTTTCTTTTAAGTTGAAGATATAGCTTGCTGACGATTACCAATAGGAATGAAATTTAAATCCAGGACTTTCTGTCAACTGCTCCCAACCATCAAGTAGTATGCAATAAACTCTAACTCAAACTAATTCCCAGCAAACGTTTAGCATTTTAAGATTTATGCGTTACTACAGTGTTTCTCTTAAAGCCGGCATACAGAGAAACATGATGAACGTTCATTACTGAATAATCAATCTGTAAATGCTTTAAAGTTATATCGAAGATTTTCATCCTTTCACTTTCATGATTAAAAGTGAAAGAAAGTGATTTTGAACTACTTATAATATAACTGACTAGTTCACTGAAATTCAGCTTATGTAATCAAGCTTAGATTTTATGATAAGTGACTAGCTGATTTTCTTTTTCACGTCGAACAGATGCAGCATTTCGACAATACTAGTCAATTCATAGTATTTAAGCTAAGCATAGAAAGTTCATTGGCTATTAGAGATCCTTATTTCTTTAAACTGTATAACCATATTTTGGAATATTCTAGGTTTGAAATGCCTCACTTGAAACAAATAATAACTGTTATTCAACTCTGTTGACTTCTTCTAACAAACTGGTCAGTGATTATCAAATCATATGATGGAATTCAGTCTTTACGGATAGAAATTGTCTTCACAGTCTTATCATATTACTATTATTTTTCCCTTGGGTTCCTAGTGGAACATACGGCTTCAGTAGCACGCCTCCATTCCACTCTCTTCTCTCCAATATTTTCAACTTCGCTCCACAACAGCCCATAAGCTCTCATTTCTTCCTCACATCATCTCCTCTATGTCACCCTCTCCGGTTTGGATTCCACTCAACGGCCTGGCCTGACACATGATGTCCCCAATCGGTGATGGATTCTTGGTTGGTTAATTGCCGGGTCAGAGTTCCTTGTTGCTTCAAAACATTTTTTTTTCACAGCTTTCAAAGTTTCTGACTCGAGTACTCAAAACCTGTCCCATTATTACGTGTGTGATAACATCAGTAAAGCGTAGTGCGAATCATACATACTATTTCTCATTGTTTTTTGCCAAAAATTCCACTAATCTATTACTAGTTTTTTCTTGTATAATTTCGTAAAAGTTTATATTGCAGAACAAGTTATTTTAGAATTAAATAGACTGGGCGTAACCTGAAATGAGGTAAATCAGGAGCACTGACAGTTACATCAGCCTTTAAGGTTAAAGGAATTGAAAAAAACTCTCATTATTGAAAATCTGGATAGCCTTCTAACTATCCTCTTCTGTTTGGTTCAGCAGTAGATTCAGTAGTATTTGGTAGGCTTCATAAGTCTGTTATAGACCTAACTTCATTGTATTAAAAAAAATGAAGGTCTCCTATCTTGTAACCGTAATAAATGCCTCATTAACATTCTATTCATTTGTTGGAATTATGTAATTATTCTAGATTAGCAAAATTCATATGTTTTTTCAGCAAATCTTTACTCATGAATGTTTGATTGGATTTGTTTCTTTGGTTTAACATGACATATAGAACTAATAATATGCAGTTTTATATGTAAATATGCTTTTAAATTTCAATTTTTAACTAAAATTCCATTATTGAACTGTTTATCAACCTAATCATTCAATAGTATAATTATTTATTCATGTTTTCTCAATTATATTACACTTTATCATTCATTTTTCAACAATGTTTAATACATAGAGTAGTAAAGAACAATGAAGTCGCTAGTATTCATCTACTTTATAAAATGAAATTTAGTTGTCATGATTTTGTTTGAAGTCATTCATCTAACAAGATGCTGTTCTCTCTCTATCTTATAGTAAAATGTAATTGATATCTGATAGATTATATTCAAGATGAATTTTTTATCAGGTTTGTATATTATTGATAATGTTTCCAAATACCTGTAAGTGTATGCGGTTCCCAAAGGGAAATAAACTCATTACTCAATGATTCAGTTAACTAGTTATTGTCTCATATATTACTCAACAACGTTTTTCATGTCTTTTTCTACAGATAGAATTATATGATAATCACTTTCTTCAATTCTATTTATTCAGTTAATCCGTTAAAATAAAAGTGGTATGTAGATGCGTGGATTCCTGATAATATAAGTCTTGATATTTCCATCAATCAAAGTTATCTATGATGATTGATAAAGAAAGAATGAAGTAAACTGGTCAAATGATTCTCCTTTAAGTATAACTTAGAATTTTATTATTTTTTTTGCTTAACAAGAAATTAGATCATCCGAATGTTATACGTTATCTGGCATCATTTGTCGAAAACAATGAATTAGTTATCGTTTTAGAACTTGCAGATGCGGGAGATCTATCATATATGATAAAGGTAAAGTATACTCATTTTTTGGAATGTTTTCTTCACTCTCTGATAGCATACTTTGTTTAACACTTCTTAAATTGTTACGTCATCATTGACGAAGGAAAAACGTCTAATCAGTATCTTTTAAGCTACGAACATGAAGAGACCAGTAAGATGTTTTTATTACATATCTGAGAAAAAGTACTTTGTTATTGAAGATTTCATAATGCAACGTAAATAATCACTGTCTTCGAATACCTTTGTAGATAATGAAAAACTAAAACGATTCTCATGTATTACAGTGAGTTTTTTACATTATCTTCTTTGATTAAACACTTAACGAAGAGTACTTCTGGCATTTTAGTTAAATCGACTGAGGATAAATATAAACACTTCAGATTAATGAGTTTTCTGAATGTTTAAAAGTTGCCTCACTTAAGTTTTAAGAAGACATTATCAGTAACATTCGAAAGACTTTTGGTTGTATCACTCGTGATTTCCACTATCTGTCGTTAAACCTACTTATATATTACTGTCACCAATCAAATCATTTACACGGTATGCAATTATTAATGAGTAACAGATCCGGATTTTCAACACCAATGTCAAGTCAGTGCTTCTGTATGGTTCAGGAACTTGGCGTGTTACGAAAGGGATTTACAACAAACTACAGATATTCATTAACAACTGCCTTCGCTCTTTACCCCAGCTCAGATGGCTAGAAAGAATAAGCAACAAGGAACTCTGGCTGGTGACGAACCAACGAAGCAAGAAGCTATCATTCAGTAAATATGCAGAAGGAAGTGGAGATGGATTGAGCATGCACTGAGAAGACCAACTGGGGACATCACCAGCCAGGCCCTCGAGTGGAACCGAAAGGGGAAACAACGAGTTTGGTGTCCGAGGCAAGGGTGACATGGAGAAGATCGTGAAAAGAAGAAATGAGAGCTGCTGGGCTGTCATGGAGCCAGGTTGAAAAGATTTCAGAGAACAGAGTGGAATGGAGGCGTGCTACTGAAGCCTTATATTTCACTAAGAACCCAAGGGACAAATAATAATAATAACAGAGTATACACAGTGATCATTCAACTTGAAATAAAGAATCTTACAGTGGGGCTTATTTTCTGACCTCTAATTTATATTCAACATGTGCAGCGTGTATCAGTTAACTTTTGTTCCTGTTTGCTACAAAAAATCTTATGATATCAGTGATAATTAGTCAGCAACTTTAAACCTACACATGAGACAATTTTTGTATGGACTGTTTTGTACCAATCTGTTTATAAGAATGATAGTAACAATATTACAAATACATAATCAATTCGCTCACAATATACGAGTAGTTGCGCACTTTATCACTATGAATCAAGAGTTTTATGTTCTTTTACTGACTGGTCATTGTCTTTTGATAATCAGTTCAGATCATTCTCAATTAGTGAGTTAAGTGAATTGTTTAAAAATATGGTTTTGTTAGATATGATCTAGTCTTGTAAGAAATATTTGTCCGTTTGCAACTGATATTAATGTGTCCCTGAAAATAATGTATTCAGTTACTGTAACTCACTTAGTGATAGACATGGGTATCAGTTAATGAATGATCAAAGACTTATATTAAAGCCAAATCTGTCAATTTTTTAGATTAGGTGTGACATGCCAATTTATTTTCTTTATTATTTGTCCCTTGGGTTCCTAGTGGAAAATAGGACTTCAGTAGCACGTCTCTATTCCACTCTGTTCTCTGCAGTCTTCTGAACCCGGCTCCACAACTGTCCAGAAGCTTTCATTTCTTCCTCACACGATCTCATTCCATGTCACCCTTGGACGCCCAACTCATCTTTTCTCCTTTCGGCTCCACTTGACGGCCTGGCACGTGATGTTCCCAATCAGTCTTCTCAGTGTATGCCCAATTCATCTCCACTTCCTTCCACTGCATATTTGTTGGGTGGTAGGTTCTTGGTTGATTTGTTGCCAGAGTTCCTTGTTGCTTATTCTTTCTGGCCATCTGATATTCAGTATCGAGCGCAGCCAGCTGTTGATAAATGTGTGACGCATCAATGCTAACCAGTTTTTAAAACGCCTTGATTTTGTGGCTGTCAGTTGTACTACCAATTGGCATAACGTTGCTCTATCTTTGTCTTTCTACAACTCGACCTTGTTATATATATCTGCTATGAGGGTTTAACAGCAAATTGATTGCAGTGGGTGCAAAAGCTGTATTGAGTATGCGGTGGTTGGATAGATAGCTAATGTTGACATGGGATATGGCATTACTGTGTAACAGTTCGAGTTGATACACCTAATTTCGACACATCAAGCAATAAAGCTTCAAGTTGAAAACCTGCGAAATAAAGAAGAAAGCGGTCAAGAGTGACAGAAAATTGTGAAAAGACATCAAGGGAGAATCAGTTAACACTGAAATTCGTGTGCTGATTAAGGTACGGATAATGCATGAATGTATTCGTGCCGATGAGATCTATTCTGAGCCTGTCAATTACAATCTTCAACCGCAGCTCTCATTTGCCATGTGAACCTCAACCAGAAGGCCTAGACTCTACTGGGCGACTAATATCAACAGTTAGAAACTCCATGAATTAACGATATGTTCTGGTCTGAGCATTTCTAACCTTTTCCCGTACGGATCCTACTGCAACTAATATTATGTAAGGAGACAGACGGCAACGAGGTTCATGTAGCACATTCCCCAGCCACCTGGGTCGATGAAGGTTCATAACCTCATGAACTGATATACCTCTTCTACTCAAAGCTGTATGCCTGACTTCAGGAATGAAGTCAAGTTTAAACTTGGCAAAATGTCGGCTACCCGAGACAGACACTGGAATGCAGTTCAACCATGAATTCTTTTTTATTTAAAAGTGTATACTGCTTGTATTTAACTCGTATACTACCATATGCGGTCGCTTAAACATGAAGATTTAAGGGATGTGCACTAACCTTTGACGATCCAGAAATCACCCAACTGATGAGCCTCAAATGAGACGAAACGCTCGTTCTGAATTCCCCCCCCCCCGCTAGTCACTTACACCAGTATAAGACCCAAAAATCATCTATGTTATATCATTGTTAACAAACTGCTATTCATTTGGTACAAATCTGTTATACAGTGCTCAAATAATCCAGCATCTGTTTTTCCCATTGTTATACATGAAGATGTCGGTTCGAACCACCAAGTAAGCATAATTCTTCATTCACTTGCTGATATCCTCTATAAATAGGTGTTAAAATCCATATAATCCAGTTCCAAACGTTAATATCGATTTCCTATGGCAACTTGAGCTGAATCATCTGTGTGTTAGGTTCTACGTTGATTTTGTTAGTTAGTCGGTCGGTCAGTCAATCCTACAGTCAGCTTATCGGTTAAAATACGCTTTACATTGAAACATACTAAGTTTCCTTTTTAAGTCGAAGTAAATACTTCAGTATAATGAGATTCAGTACAACTGATCACTTGTCTGTTCTGTTTTTCTTCGCATCAGTTCATGCCATTTAAGGGTTATGATATGCAGATCTACCTTGAAGAAGGAGTTTTTCACTTTTAAAAGGTTGATTCATGAACTTTACAGAAGTTTACTGACAGTCACAACTGACTACTTTAAACACCTTTTCATTCTTCATTACTGCAGAATTTCAAACACTCAGCGTTGACATTGGGTGGCGGTTGCGCTATATATCGTGAGCTAACAGAAGTTGGAAATATGGAGCATTGGAATCTGACCCAGTGACTCAATGGTTACGCGCTGGCCGCGGAACCTGAAGGTCGCGGGTTCGATCCCTGCTGGTGGGGTCGTGGGTGCGCACTGCTGAGAAGTCCCATACTAGGACGAAACAGCTGTCCAGTGCTCCCAGGTTTCCTTTGTTCCTCCAACTGATGTCAGTCTACGATGAATAACAACTTTAAGCTTGCTAATTGCTGATAAACACTTCAGATCCTTCTAGATCTATTGATATAGTTTTAACTGATTATATAAGAATCTCTAATGAATAGTCTTTGAGTCGTATAAATAATAAAATAGTAATCATATTCTAATTACAACCCAGACTATATAAAATTTCTATTGTGAATATTCTTGTTCAATCCACTTGTATAGCATTTTAGAAAGAAAAAGCGATTAATTCCTGAGAAAACTATTTGGAAGTATTTTGTTCAAATCAGCAGTGGCTTGAATCATATGCATTCAAAACGTATTATGCATAGAGGTAAGATTTCATGTATTGTGTATATCTAAATATACCCTTGATTTTATCACTGTTTTGCAGTATTAATAAAATCTCAAGCTTGACTAAGTTAAAACAATGTCACTGACCTAACAAATGCCTAGAAATGTGCAGTCAACTTTAGCAGTAGATGACGCTGATGTTTTGCTGTATTGAAAGATGATAGAAACACAGTTTTGACTAACGTATTATTACTTTCAGACCAATTTCTCCTTAGTTGAACAGCATTTCTTACTACTGTAGAGATAAAATTCTTATTCTTCTCAACTTACTAGCCTTAGTTTTATTAATTTCCCTGACATATTATTATAAATTTATCTATCCTATCTTCAGTGAAACAGGTTAGTGAGAACTTCTGAAACACCTAATTACCTTATATGCAATCAAAACTTATAATTCAAAATGCTGAAAATTATGTTTTCACAGATCAGCAGTGTTAACTAACAAACCTTAAGTATTTATTGAAAAGTTAGCTAACATAACAGCGGAAGGATTAACTAATTATCATATGAGATCAGTCAACTCAATAATCACTAATGATATCCAGTTATGTAGGAGACTAAATCACTGGGTCATTGGGCCTTTAAGAAACATGACATAAATCTGTCACTATAGTTTTCATGCATTCATCTTCAGTGTCATTTTAGTTTTCATTGATGTTTTATTCTGCTCTCCTCTTCCATAATTTTTATTTCGGCTACTCTACTGTTTAGAATTTTGTTAAGTGAAGACGATAAGATGTTATGCACTGACATATGTCATCATATTATATATATATATATATATATATATATATATATATATATATATATATATCCCATAGTTATAAGTGTTGAAATAATGGAGAATATTTGTAGCTCAGATGGATGGTCTTCGTTGTATTGTGTTCTCCGAGATGGGGTGTTTAATCGTGAAGCTTTCATCGTCTTGCTAGACGACATCATCAGCACTAACTTCAGTATGAAGTTAGGATCATAAATTTGATAAATTGTTTGGTTGTGGCTAGCAGAAGAATCCAGGACGCCCGTCTTGTCCTATTTGGGACTCGTCAGCTGGATGTACCCGCACCCCAGTGATGGGGTTCCCGGTGGGACTCCAACCTGGTACCCATAACTTTAAACGGCAAGGCGTTACTCAGTATGCCACGGAGGAACGATAGCGTTTGAAGCGATGGGTACGAGGTTCGAGCCCCAGTGGGAACAACACCACTGGGGTGCGGGCACATCCAGCTGACGAGTCCCAAATAGGACGAAACGCGCGTCCTAGATTCTTATACTAGCCACAACTAACCAAATTACCGAGTGTGACATTCAGGCAATATCGAGATATCCACATAGGAGCCCGTATGCCAATAGAGGTAGAACAATTCGATCCAACAAAACAAAGGAGCATAACAAGTATGTCAATAAATAGTAATGATCATAAATTTGTCTCAAATATGTGCTAGCAGACCACTTGGTTATGTTAATTCATAATGGTCCTTGATTTGGATGATACTTTCAAGCCAACTAGAAGCTATATGAAATATTGAACATCTGTTTATCAAAATATTCTATATAAAGTGTAAACTCAATTCATCATTACTGTAATATTCTACTTTTCAGTAGCTCATCTTTATCCGTTGCTCATATTTTCTATATCAAATTATGAAAGTAACCTTTAAAACAAAAAATCCTATTGTCTGTAGTATAAATATGTGTACTTAGAAGTATTAGGAATAATTATTGAAAGGCGAAAAATAAGATAACGCATAATTAAATTCGTATATCTCCTTATTCAATCCTTCAATATCTGATATTCAATAGATAAACTTGATCAAAGCTCATTGAAAAAGTATTTTTTTGTAAATGTAAAAAAACTGTATACACAACTGGTGATAAAACAAGTTTTATCATTCTTTTGAAAACATAAATAACGACACTTTAAGTAGTCTTCAATTAAGTTTACTGAGAAACAAAGTCTTTTAATTGACTAAAATCTTGATAAAATTCCAGTATGCGTCGTAGAGCTTTTAATAATCCAGAAAGCCGACCAATGAAATATACAGCACTAAAGTGTTGTAGTCTCTTCCTTATATCTAATATTATTATTATTATTTTCCCCTTAAGTTCCCGGTGGAACATACGGCTTCTGTAGCACGCCTCCATTACACTCTCTCCTCTACAGTCTTTTCAACCTCTCTCCATCATTACCCACAATCTTTCATTTCTCTCTCACATCATCTCCTCCATGTCCCCCTCAAATCGGATACCCAACTCGTCGCTTACCATTTCAATTTCACTCGACGTCTTGGCTTCACATGTGATGTCCCCAACTGGCCTTCTCAGTGTATGCCTAATACAATCAATCTCCACTTGCCTGCTGCATATTTGTTAGGTATATGGTTCCTCGTTGGTTCATTCCCACAACTCCTTGTTGCTTATTCTTTCTAGTCATCTCATCTATAGTATTGAGTGAGTGTAGGTGACAACTGTTGATGATGTATGTTTACAGTTTGTTGGAAGTGCTTCTCGTGACGTGTCGGGTTTCTGAACCATGCACAACCACCACCACCACCACCACCACTGAATTGACTGGGATTGGTGTTCAAAATCCGGATGTTGTTCACTCTTTACCCCGAGTACAGTGCAGTAGATATCCACACTGATTATTTCAGATTATTATGAAAGCCTGTCTCGCTGTCTTGCCGATCCTGGCTGCTTTGACATCCTCCTCTCTGCCTGTGCCGCCTGTACTTGAAACGATGCTGTCTAGGTTGGTAGGTAGGTAGCTAGGTAGGTGAAAGAGACTACTTCCTTCCGGTCCCTCCGGTTAATGATGATTGGTGCGTGTTGTTGTTGATGCTGTTGTTGGTTGGGTATCCTCATCATCTCCATCTTCTCTACATTCATTTGAAGGAAGTCTCGTCTTCGCTGCCATACCTCGCCTCTTCTGTTAACTTGTTAGTTTCCACCCCTAGATCTTCCAGTTTGTGCCACAAGACATTAGACATAAATCATCATCGTTGGTGAAATCGAAATCTTCTTCTGATGTCTTTTCATCGGTCCAGCCAGCCAGCCAGCATATGCCTTTCATCTCACTCCTCACGATTTACTGCATGATCCAGTCCAGTTCACCACAGTCAGCAAGGTCATTGGTGATAGTAGGCGGCAGCTTTGTCTTACTCCTTCTTGTCTTCACTTCATAGGCATCACTGAGCTTTCCGTTGTGAATCACTTGGCATGTGGCATCTTCATATAGCTGCTGAATGAGATTGATTAAGATTTATGTTACTCTGTAGTGTTGAAGCAGCAGTTGCCAAATTACTTCTCTGCCGTCCTTATATCTAACGGAGTATATTAAGGAAGAAACAGATAACTCCACTTAAGTCTTATTATTAAAAGGCATGTAATTTATTCAATACAACGTAAGTGACTGACATTATTAGGATACTTTATACTGAAGAAAATTTCTTCTTAACATACTCTTACATGAACAATTCTGACAGGTTTTCTTTAACCTTGACGAAAATATAACTGCATTTCGAGTCTGTATTTTCTAGTTATTTACTTTTCTTTTTCTTAAATAAACAATTGATGAAGCAAGAATTCCTTTAACTTTTGTATTTTATCAAGTCAATATTCTCCAGAAATTATTTTTTTTGGGGGGGGGGGGGGATGTTCAATTATTATTATTATTATTTACCATTTTTATTCTCATCTAATTTCTTTTTCTATTTATTCTTCATTCATCCTTAAAGTATATGTAGCATTGTATCGTACATATAAAATGAAGAACTCAAAATGTAAACTAAAAATATACAATTCCTTATACAAGGTCATCTCTTAGTGTAATAGAATGTTTATATGTAACTATGGTAACCATAGACTATTTCTTACCAGCGGTATCAACAATGATAATAATCACATCTATAAAGAATTATGAAATATTTACATAATTCAATCTTTTTATAATATGAATATTAAAAAAAAATTGTAATGATAAACAAGTTTGATAAAAGTAATTTCATTTCATAGTTATAAATTGGGAAATATTATAATTCTGGCCTATATGTTTTAGTTCATTCACTTTTTCTTCTCATTAGGTAGTATATGAAGCATTTTTATTATTAAGTAGATGGAAGTAAAAACAAAAAAAAACGGGATTCTTTCTAAGAACTGGATATCTCCTTAGATATAGATGGTTTTTTAGTCGTAATACTCATAGTAAAACAATATAGACGAAACAGCTGTCCAGTGCTCCTAGGTTTCCTTTGTTCCTCCAACTGATGTCAGTCTACGATGAATAACAACTTGAAATATTTCCAAATCTCCACAACTCCCTCAAAATTCAATTCAACTGGTGCTCATTGGTGACTAGCTTCGAGAAGTATTCCCCAAGTTGCAATGAGAAGTGGTGACCGGTGGAGTGAAAGCCTGATGGTGGTGAGACAGATACTCAACGATGTCATTGGGTGGTGGTTGCACTATATCGTGAGGTAAGAGAAGTTGGAAATATGGAGCATTGGATTGTGACCCAGTGGCTCAATGGTAAGGTGCTGGCCAGGGGACCTGAAGGTCGTGGGTTCGAACGGTGGTGGGGTGGTGGGTGCGCACTGCTGAGCAGTCTGATACCACCACGAAACAGCTGTCCAGTGAGTGCTCCCAGGTTTCCTTTCCTCCTCCAACTGATGTCAGTCTACAATGAATAACAACTTGAAATAGACATATCTATTGACACGATAACTGTTTACAATGTTGAAATGGATAATGATGACTCAAATAACCAAACTTCAAAATTTTGTGCTACACTTATTTTCCTCTTGTTTCAGCTTTTTTTTTTTATTATTTGACTTACCTTTTATTTCACAATAAGTGTTACAATCTTATTGAAAAACATATTTATTGTCTTTTAGATATAAAACCTGCTAATGTGTTTATCAATGCTAAAGGTCAAGTGAAACTAGGAGATCTTGGATTGGGTCGATATTTCAGCCCAAAGACTATAGCAGCTCATTCTTTAGGTAAGTAATTGTCAAGTGACTTTTATATTGATCTGAAACCTTACCAGTAATTAATCACATTTCCATAGGATATTTATGCCAAGAATTATGTTTCAAGAGATTTGTAAAAGACTGGTAAAAAAAGGAGTTCCCTTTATTTGATGGAAATAAGCCATATGATGCACGTTTTACATATCAGATTATGAAGCCGTTTACTATATGAAGGGTTATCTTACTATTTTATTTGCTCAAGCCGACTCATAAATACCATGGTCTAGTCCTGTATTCTACTGAATGAAGATCGAAGAAATATTTCTTTTCAGTTAGTTCCTCATCAATGGCTCTACACTAATATAGCATTTTCAAAACGTAAAATACATACCAATCTAGTGGTGAGAGTTATATAATGAAAGGTAATCAATCTCAAAGTATCAAGGATGTGATAGTTGATCAGGTAATGTAGACAGTTAACTAAAGCATAGACTAATTATAGTAGAAAGATTTTGTGAACAGATTCTTACATAATTGATATTTTGTATAATGGTAACTAAAGAGCAAAAATGAACTGTTACGTGAAGTGGTAAATTGTTGACGGTAATTAGAGATAGTAGGGGAGAAGAAGATGGCTAAATCTGTAATAATAGTAATAATAATAATAGAGTTATTAAAATATTAGTTGTAGTCAATTTTGTGGCGAATGAAATGAAGAGTTTTGTTGTAATAAATGAGCTATACAGATGGCCAAAGCAAAGAAAGAGGCTGTACGAATCTCTTCTGAACACACAGATTTGGCTTGTTTAGGTGGATTCCTATGGCTTCCGCTGTATGTAAAAGACGAACTCATAGAGCATAGGTAAGGTTAGAAGGAGTGTGATAAACAACTTTAAAGGCATTATGAATGTTAACTCGGTGGCCGGTGTGAATCAGATGAGAGAGTATTGAGCTTTGTATCGATCTGGTTTCCCACTTACTTAGCGATGAAGGTTGATGCTCGGCGATTCGATGACGGACTTGTCTAATTGTACGTTCAATGTAACTAGCTCCACAGGAGCAGTTGAACTGGTAAATGCACATAGAAGAGGAGAAGTCAGGGAGTCTGTCTTTAGTTCGTGTGGTCATCATCGGCTGGCTGTAGAAAACATAACATAACTTTGTGGCATTACATGATCTTCTTATGGCATTTCTTAAGCGTTGTGTCACCATTTCGCTGATGATATCACCTCGAAATTGTAGTCTTAGGAACAATGGTTTCTTGGAGACTGTAGGCATTTTGGTTTTCATATTGAATGTATCCATATTTTTAGCCAGAAACTAAATGTCTAAATGAGAATTTTCGCATTACTGAATGAAGATTAACCACAAACTTCAGTGAGTTAGATGTTCACAAGTCAGCTACTAAATGATAATTAACAAACTAGTTGAGGCTTTCAGTTTTAAAAAAAAGTTTTAAGAAGGTGATTATTCTTTTTAAAACATTTCTGCAATAATTCACACTACTAAGTTTTCTAATCAGTTTGTAATACTTGTTTAACTTCAGAAACGGTAGCATAAGTAAATAGTCCTTACAAATGTAATGACTTTCTTCGTACTTTTTAAGCTAGACCTTCTATTATATTCTAAAGAAAGTCAACGATATTTTCAAGAAGCGAACATACCTTGTAATATCCTTGTCTCTTCTGTTATACAGCTGTAGTAGTGCGACGATTCAAGGTCATTGAGATGTCAAGGATAACATACAGTGAATATCTTCTTAAAATGGCTCTCATATGGTAAAGCAGTCCAGTAAATACTTCTAAGATAAACTAAACAGACAATAAAAGATGTCATTTACCATAATTGTGTATGTCTGTTTGTTGAAGAGAATGCAATGTTTTACTAAGAACGCATTTTTCTTAAGTTTAGGATAAGGTTTTATGAAATATGACAGCAACGGTAGTAGGCGCTAGCTGTTCGTTTGAAACATGCCCAGATTTATTCCAGTAAGATATTGGAAATGATTAGTGTTGAATACTACAAATGAAATCAGTTTAAACACAATATAGTTCTATGCAAATACCTATATTTTATCTCAATGATGGATCGTGGCTAGCAGTGGAATTCACGATGCGCATTTTGTCCTGTTTGGGACTCGTCAGCTGGATGTACCTGCGTGTCAGTGAGTGATGTCGTTCCCACCGGGATTCAGACTCGGGAGCGATCGTTTCAAACGCCAGAGTGTTATCCACTACACCACCGAGCCACGATAGTGGATAACGCGCTGGCGTTTGAAGCGATCGCTTCCGAGTCCGAATCCCAGTGGGAACAACATCACTCACTGGGAAGCAAGTACATCCAGCTGAAGAGTCAAAAATAGAACGAAATGTCCATCCTGGATTCCACTGCTAGCCACTACCCATCAATACTATATGTAAGTAAGACATAGGCAATATCAAGGCATCCGCACTGGAGCCCATATGCCAATAGACACTGATCAAGTGGGTCCAATCAATGACGGTGTAATATAAGCAATAACACTGAAACACAAGTATGTTAACGAAAAACTTAATAATTTCTCAGAATATCAAAATAGAGTCGTTTTAATAATTTATTAGTCCATAAAATGAAAGTTTAGCCATGCTCATATAAACATCATGTGTGTAGTTAAGTGTTCATTCACACTGATCCTGAAATTGTATAAATTTTTTGTTGTAATTTTGTAACATACATTGAATACTTCTGTATCACTTCAAATTGTAGTTTCACTCATCAATGATAAAAGTCAACTCACCAGTGTTCACCTTTTAATTTATGATTCTTCTTAAAATACATAAACATAAATCTGGTGAAACTATTTTTATTATTCAAAATGTAACCAATTACTTGTGGAAGTAGTATCGACGTCTGGTATCTGACTGTAAATATATGTATGCTTCCAAAAATACTATCGTTTTACTTATTATCCCCAACATTGTTGATCCATCTGTACTAGACAGTGTAAATAGTAGGAGACAACATTAAGTATAATTTGGTATAATTTGTATTGACGAACCAGCTGACAAACATTTTAAATGAACACAATTAGACAACTATTCAATTATTAGGTGCTAGATATATCGTAATGATATGAATTATATGCTACATAATTCGCTTCCTGGAATACAGAAATAGAAAGGAATATCCGTGTTCGATATAAGGTGTTGTTTAATAAAGGTATAGTCATTTCGAAGGTGTTTAAAGTGTAGAGGAAAGATTAAGAATATTTATTATCACGATGCAAACTGACTGAAAGGATATATATATATATATAAATCGAGTATTTGACAAATGAAATACCAAAACAACTTTACCAAAGTAATAATATATTGGAAGGTAAAAATCTTAACGAAATTGAAATAAAAGAAAAGGTTCAAAAGTTCTTGGGACTAGACAAAAATGCCTTTGTTTTGTTTTATGAAAAAGTCTGACATATAGTAGACATATGATTGTGTGCATAGTCAACAAGGTAATGAATAAAAATAGTTACTAGTGAATTAGTTTTATTACAAGTAAATTGTCTAGATGTATAGTTTTGACCAACGGACTTTTCTTCTTGACTTTGTATTTTTGTTATCGTCAGTAACTACTGTGGGCGATTTTTTAACGCCATTGTTTTCGGTTGCTTTAATGTAGATTCAGACTTGAAATCTATGATATCTGGTTCCATAAACAGTGGCTTGATTTTGTCAGTGCTAAGTGTTTCTCGTTTGCTGGAGCGTTCGACCATGACAACTTTTTCTGGCTTACTAATTACTTTGAAAAACCCTTTTAGAGGTTTTTGCACGTTGTCATGACGAATTAAACTGGTTATCAATAACGTAATATCCTTGAAAAATTTACTTGCACATAAAAATCTTCAAAGAAATCTCAAATATGATAAATTTCACTAACTTGATAACTGAATACAATATTCCTTACCACTTTTGCATAAGACATACAAAATTTATTTTGATACCAGTTTTTCAACGAACTTGAACTGTTGATAGGTGGTTGAATAAGAAGACTTATCTATGGAAACTGACTACTTACTAGAACATATCTATGCTAAACTTTTTAATTCTAAAGGGTAGAGCCGCAAAAGATATAGAGAAGTTGTTATTTATTAAAATGACGCTAGTACATTAGAGAAGACTGATTGTTTCTTTTCAGTCAAGCTGAAATTACTTTTCTATGTTAGTGTGTGTGTGTGTTTGTATCTAAAGAAAGTAAAGTAATCGTATACAAAATATGTTGATATTCTGTATGCTTATAATGCGGACAATTTCTTTCTCTTTCCATCTAGTACTTTCTTGAAATTTATTTTATATATAACAGATAAACAGAGATTTACTGAAGCATACAGTTCTGAATAATGCATTACTGAAATGAATTAGTACTTGGGATAGTTTTTCTCTCTGTCTCTCTTCAGTTTACTAGTGGTGTTTTTTCTACAGATGTGAATTACTAATTACTTCCACTGGTATCACAATGGGCTTTGTTGTTATATATATGAAAGAAATTCCACTTGCGAACCTCTTTGTTAGAGAAAAGTATCAAGTTGATATGGAAAATATTGAAATATCATATTTTCTCCATATACACATTGAATGGTTGATAACTATCAAAAATTCGCTCATTATAAAATTTTTCATACCGTTTCATTTTAAAATCACCTAAAACCTGTTATCCACAAATATCCTTATGAATATGAGGTTATTTATCATTGTTCACAATTTTAGTCAGTGAAAATTAGTTTGATTTGTGAATTATTTAGCTAAATTATAAAAATGGGGGATAAGATGATAAACAAAACGGAATGAATTAAAACAGTCGGATAAGTAGGTACTTATGTCTCAACAGTTTTAACAACCACCAACAGCAAAGAAAAATGTCAAATTGTTTCACATTGGGTTGCATTACCAAAATATCAGTGTAACATCTCCTGCTTGTCATGTTGTTAACTGGTATAAAGTTTTATATGCTCAGGAATTCATGAAATACTAGACATGTTTTGTAACAAATTGAACGTATTCAAAAGGGTTACATTTCGCTTGCTGATAAGAAGATCCTTTACTTGATAATTAATTATACATGATCATGAAAAGATGCCACATGAGAAGTGATCCACAATGGAAAGCTCAGTGACGCCTTCGAAGTGAAGACAAGAAGGAGTAAGACAGAGCTGCCGCCTACTATCACCAACGACCTTGCTAACTGGTGAACTGGACTGGATCATGCAGTAAATCGTGAGGAGTGAGATGAGAGGCATATGCTGGCTGGCTGGCTGGCTGGCTGAACTGATGAAAAGACACCAGAAGAAGATTTCCATTTCACCAACGATGGTGATTTATGTCTAGTGTCTTGTGGCACAAACTGGAAGATCTAGGGGTGGAAACTAACAAGTTGACAGAAGAGGCGAGGTAGGTCAGCGAAGACGAGACTTCCTTCAAATGAATGTAGAGAAGATGGAGATGATGAGGACACCCTACCAACAACAGCATCAACAGCAACACGCACCAATCATCATTAACGGGAGGGACCGGAAGGAAGTAGTCTCTTTCACCTACCTACCTAGACAGCATCGTTTCAAGTACAGGCGGCACAGGCAGAGAGGAGGATGTCAAAGCAGCCAGGATCGGCAAGACAGCAAGACAGGCTTTCATAATAATCTGAAATAATCAGTGTGGATATCTACTGCACTGTACTCGGGGTAAAGAGTGAACAACATCCGGATTTTGAACACCAATCCCAGTCAATTCAGTGGTGGTGGTAGTGGTTGTGCATGGTTCAGAAACCCGACAGGTCACGAAAAGCACTTCCAACAAGCTATAGATATACATCATCAACAGTTGTCACCTACACTCAGTCGATACTATAGATGAGATTACCAGAAAGAATAAGCAACAAGGAACTGTAGGAATGAACCAACGAAGAACATATCACCCAACAAATATGCAGCAGGCAAGTGGAGATTGATTGTATTGGGCATACACTGAGAAGGCCAGTTGGGGACATCACATGTGAAGCCAAGCCGTCGAGTGGAATTGAAATGGGGTGAGATGAGTTGGGTATCTGAGTTGAGGGTGACAATGAGGAGATGATGTGAGAGAGAAATGAAAGATTGTGGGTAGTGATGGAGCGAGGTTGAAAAGACTGTAGAGGAGAGAGTGTAATGGAGGCGTGCTACTGAAGCCATATGTTCCACCGGAAACCCAAGGGGAAAATTATTATTATTATTATTATTATTATTATTATTATTATTATTATTATTATAGTGAAAAGAGACGTTTGTTTCACTGGGCTTGATAGTTATGGAATTGTCTTTGATCATGAACAAAAAAACTATATTTAGTCCTGCAGAAAAATGAGTGCAAATCAACCTCCTTTAGGATATAAGATCATCATCTTTAATGATTACAACTCCTCGAAGGAGTAAATCATCATGTTTATGCAACAAAACCTAATGCATTACGGTGATTAAACTGACTGGTAATCATCACTTTAAAGTGTAATAGTGTAGCGTATCAAATATTTTTAACGAACCTATTATTATGATATACTTGTGTTATAAGATGAACAAAATGATACGAAATCATAACCTTTGAATTGATTTTATCTAATATTTATCAATCGTACTACAATCTAAAGTGAATTTGTTTTTTGCTTATCACTGCCTCATTAGTTCAATTAAGCGTGAATTGTTTCAAGAGACGGACATTTTGTATCCATTTGATGTATTAACTGCTTTATTATTCTTCTAAGAATGTTATTCATTGACTGGAATCTTTTTGGTCAAATTATCAAAAAATGCTAAGATATTTCAAGTTGTTATTCATCGTAGACTGACATCAGTTGGAGGAACAAAGGAAACCTGGGAGCACTGGACAACTGTTTCATCCTAGTATGTGACTCCTCAGCAGTGCGCACCCATGACTCCGCACCACCAGAGATTGAACTCAACACAGTTATTCAACGATAACATTGGCTGGTGGTTGCGCTATATCGTGAGATAACAGAAGTTGGAAACATGGAGCATTGGATTCTGACCTAGTGGCTCAATGATAACGTGCTGCTCACGGAACCTGAAGATTTCGGGTTCGATCCCTGACGGGATCGTGGATGCGCACTGCTGAGGAGTCCCATGCTAAGACGAAACAGCTGTCCAGTGCTCCCAGGTTTCCTTTGTTCCTTCAACTGATGTCAGCCTACGATGAATAACAGCTTGAAATATTTCCAAATCTCCACAACTCCCTCAAGATACTAAGATACTTGTGATATATTGGTGTTTCTGATTCATTAGTGAAAAATAATTGACTTAACCTATTGATTCGTGTTTTTCAATAAAATCTGTATGAAGCATACATTATGATACACTTGTATCCTCATATACTAATTTCTTTGCTGTTGTTTTTTCTGTCATTGTTTTTTTCTGCTAATTCAGTCGGTACACCTTATTACATGTCACCAGAAAGAATACGTGAACAAGGTTATGATTTTGCTTCCGATATCTGGTCACTTGGTTGCTTACTCTACGAAATGGCAGCATTACAATCTCCTTTCTATGGGGAAAAAATGAATTTATTTCGTCTTTGCCAAAAAATTGAACATGGTGATTATGCACCATTGCCAAAAGAAATTTATTCAGCTGAAGTAAGTATGTTTATCGGAATAAACAACAATGACTATTGATTATACTACTGAATTCTCTATCCTTGATCTTTAATTAATTTTTGAATACGTATTAGTAATATAAGTCACCAACTCAGTTAACTTAGTATGGTAATACTGAGATATTTTGTATTCTCTATGACACGAAATAGTCTGAGAATGTTTGTAAGTACATTCCCACTGAATCAGATTCAGGTGAGGATTGCAAAAATGTGAAGTTGACTATGTTTAACGCTTGGCTGTTATTTATCCTCATACAAAATTAAAGCCTAAATGAGTGAAATGGCTATCTAACGTTTGGATCACTCCGATCTAGTTAACGGGATCTACAGGTCAACTTGAATGGTTTCTAGTTAAGAAAGTTGTTCAGTGGCATAAATTTAAAGCAGTTTCTACGACGTTATCAGAGACAAGTATATCAGTAAGATGGACTGTAAGCTTTACATGTTGTAGATGATTGCGGTGAATAATTGGTTTCTAGGTTTTGTAGCAAATCAAAAGTGTTGACATACTACTTAGTCTATAGTTTACTCCATGTCTCATACACTAACATATTAAATAGTTAATTTTGTAGTTTTCTTTTCCTTCAGATGAGTTGTAACATATAAGCCTCAGAATATTAGAATTGAACAGATTCAAAATCTTAGCTTAGCAAAACCTGTTTATTAATTTCCTTTATGAAGATGAAGATATTTTGTTTGATATGAGAAAAGTGACCAGTAGTTATTTGTTTACAAAAGTTGGATGTTATTGAGTTAGAAATTCTTGGTCCACCTCATTTACAAACTAGTCAATGTTAACATATCACTTCTTTCCGCAAACAATTTAATAGTCTCAGGCAACTGACGGTGCATAACAGAACCAATTGAAAAAGTATTGTTTGTTTTAGAATTCTGAAAACAATTGGCAATAAATGATATTATAGTTCCTTTGTTTTTTCATACTTCCATTGTTATTTATTTTCTTTTGTTCATATTTTAGCTTCGTGAATTAATCGGTATTTGTATACAAAAAGAACCATCGAATAGACCCACTATTATACATGTTTATAATATAGCCAAGCAAATGCATGAACTTCTTAATGGAAAGCTTTCAAACGCTTCTTCTTCTTCTTCTTCTTCTACCGCTAAACTTGATTCCACACCATCTTCTGCTATTGTGACGTCTTTTTCATCTTCATGCTCATCAACATGTAGTAAAGATATTAAAGAAGAAAATCATATCGGTAATTTAATAACTTACAAATAAATAGTTAGATTTACAGTCATTTGGAAATTTAATGACTTAAAAATATTCATAAAGAAAGTTGTTAAAGCACCATTTAAAGATTAAAAGTTAGACGTATTTGTTTATTTGTAGTTCAAGGTTCAATTATATTCTATAGTTATTTTTGAATCATATAGTTAATATCATTGAATTAAGTTATGTACTGATTAGCTTATTTAAGATATTCATTATATCCTATCATTTGTTTGTATAATCTTAGATTGAAAATGTATCAATTTCTTCACAATTCTATTATATTCACTCAATAATCTATACTAAAATTAAACATTATAGACTGTTCACATTGATATCATGAATCTCTACATGATGAATTATTTTCCTTCGGATCATAATCATATCACAGAAATTTAAAAGAAAAACACTTTCAATGAATAAATCTTCATTATTTTTCAATATTTAACTGTAAAATTGGTCAGATTTGATTAATTGACTGCTGATAACAAATTCTGCTGATACCAAAAACTATTTTTACTTTCCTTTGTTTTGTTAAAACACATATATATATATATATATATATATATATATATATATATATATATATTCATCGTTGTTTTTTCGCATCATTTAGGTTTAGACATATAATTTCTGTCTTTGAGGTTGACTCTTGTTTTAAACGCTTTCCACTATCAATTTACTGATAGGAACCAGATAGATGCAGTAAGTAGTAATATACTATGTCAAATTTTCAAAGTATCATGTGTTAAAAATGAAGTCAGAAAACAATGAAGAGAGATATGGTCATGATATACTACATCTATAGGTTAGAAAAGATGATTGATTCTAAGATAGGTTTCATTGTGAATCTATATTTGCCGAAAACGTATCGAAACTGAGAACACTAGGTGGTTTTTAAGCACTCTAGATTGTGATCTCTTAATAGTACACATACTTGACAGCATAAAGGGTGAGTTCAAGACCACCGGTTGAGATGGTAAACACCATCTAGCCAACTGGTTAAAATCCAACAGTACACATATACATACTTTTCTTAACTCATGACATGGTGTAACTGTCATCCTGTTATTGGTGAATATCTTTACTAATACCTAAACTCACTGAGTTCACAGGTCATAATCTTCCTTCATAGTGACATATATCATTCTAGTTTAAATAAATGTGAAGTGTCACACGGAATAACTTTGCTGGTTACTTGTTTAACTGTGTAAAATTTACTGTAATGAGGTCCAAGAGAACTAAAATTAACCAAGTTCTCCGAATGACCTACTTGTCAATACAGAATATGATGGTAATATATCCTACAATCTCATATGATCTCTGTATACATATGTAACCTACATTTCAGTAAGAATGTAATTAAGTGAAAAGTCAGTAGTGAATCTATGTATATGATGTTTCGTTTAAATGTGTTAGGCTTTCTTAAAAAGCCAAAATAATATCTTAACACTCTTTTACGTATACTACAGGATACTTAGGGCTGTAAGATGCTTCCAGGAATGCAGCAGCCATCAACAGTTACAGTTTATCTACAATGCCTTAGTCACCCTAATAATCCAAGTGGAAAATCTAGAGAAATATGTAATATTGAAAGCTCTTATTAAACGTTTGGCTTCTAGTCACCAGAAGCATACTTTTATTTATCCGTGAATCGAAATTTGCACTGATGAAGGATGTTGAGGTAATCCCGTCATAATGTACCCAATGTACGATATCCATTTAACGAGCTTGTGCAAAACAGTCAGTTTCTTCGTGCTTGTGTCTACGTCTTGCGAAATAATTTCAGGCCTTTGAAGGATTCAGATGCAGTAGATCCAGCCGCCCGTTCCGTGTAGCTGTGGTATACCCAAAAGGTGTTTGGGTGTTGGCTAGTTTGCCTGAGACTGCATTGCAATCGGGTTCTTCAAATGTCCACTTACCAGACAGTTGTTTCGACTGGCTGTAACAGGGAGTTAGGGGCGGTGGAGAGATAACCTAGGGAGACAAATACCTGTGAGCAAAAGATAAAGAAAAGTGAAAAGTGAATGAACACCCAATTAAGAGGACAGAAGTGTAAAGATATACAGAACTTAGGTGAGTGAGGTTATACCATAGTGAGTAAGTGGGATGGAAGGGACTTAAATGCGTAGAGGTAGCAGTGTTGAAATGATGTGACAGCCATTGATTTCTTTGGTCTAGTCCGCATTTCAACCAGATGAGCGTAAGCCATGGGTCACTGCGTAACCATCCAGATTTTTCTTGGAACTCTCGACAGTTGGGGCAGTAACTGCCTCCGCTGCCAATGCATTCCAGTACCCGGAAACTCGAAGGGACAAGAAGTGTGAACATATACAGACTTTTGACTCTTGGTGGGCAGTTCTCTTTGGGTTTCTCCAAACACCACCAATTCGGCCACTCGGTAGTATTCCTTTGTTTGGGTGAATTCGGTTATTTGGTATTTTGTAAGCCATGTCTGCAAGCTGCTTTATGTAAGACTTTACTGTAGAAGCAATTGTGCATAATCTCCTACCTTGGAACAAAGAAATAAGTCGCTCGAAAAACACCATGAAATAATACTGATAGAATTAACTTATTTTAGCAACATCCGCTTGCACAAGATTACATGTATTCTTCTTCCTAAAAGAACACCAAACATGAAGAAAGCAGAAGCTGGTATAGGGATTTATGGGGCAGTGCATTGGGAAATGGTGAGGCTTAACTTTCATCTTTGTTTGGAAGCTGACAGAGAATTGCTTTAGTAATCAACGAAGACTGATATATGGCCCCCAGCAAAAATTGCACAGCCATTATAAAACACGTCAGAAATTAGCAACGCTACCGTGTGGACTACCTAAACCTGGCAAGGACATCAAGGTTGGAACAAAAAAATTAACGCCATTTGTAGAATTTTGAATAAGTCACGGCCGTCTTAGAAATCGTTGAGCGAAGAACTTTGTTTCTGGCGATATCATTCACAGGAACTGAACAATTTTGTTAAAATATAGCCAGTAAGCACGCCTTTAAAAATGTCAGCATGGGTTACCAAACAAGAAGTCTCAGTAGATTGTGGCCAGAAAAATGAAACAGGAGTGGAAGTTATGTGAGAAGTAATAAAATACCTGCCAGTGTGAACAGCTAACTAGCCCAAGTAGGTAATACTTAAAAGAAAAATAGTATGTTACGTATCTTATACAATGACAAAATGAAAGTGGTTAGTTAGGCTTTGACCTATGGAAGCTTAAAGTTCGGAAAGTGAATAGGGCGAACGAACCCTAAAAAGTGTCAAACAATATTGTCTGGAATGAAGTGATTCACTTCGTTACAAGATGACAAGTCAGCAGACATTTAGCATTATCTTTGATGAACTGGATGTCAGTGCAGAACTGTGGGGAATAGTTCGCTTGTCTGGCTTCCCTTGGAGAGTGCTTCTATAATGACGAGTCGAAAGCAAAGTTTGATATTGTGTGTTCAGAAAGGGTGATAAAATCATGACCCTACAAGTGATGCCTAAAATGTTTTACTGAGAAATAGATAGCTTCTTCTGAAGGATGCTGTACGTGTACAGGTTCTACCTTTTTCAAGACTAGTGTGAGTGGGCTAACGTCGCCATGAACTTTTCGTTACGTAACAGCTCTTAATGTTACCCGAGATAAATCTGTACAGAGTAGTACTGATGATGCCTGATTCACGTGCTGCTTCATAGTATCTCCAGAAAGGGCTTCCTTGGGGTCGCTAAAAGCTTCTCTTGCTGTGCAAAGCAGACGTGCAAGATGGGACGGAAGTTAAGCATTAGCAAGAAATGGCAGATGCTTTTGATGGATGGCATGTTGATATGTTCGAAATATTTTCCTAATGTAGTGCCTACTATCAACACGGTCAGTGTAGCCAAAAACAAAACTTGGACATAGCCCATGGATCAAAGCAATAGTTATGCTGCACTCTAAAGACCAACAGGTGCTCTCAGCAACCCAGATGACTCCAAACCTTTTATTACCATGCTTTTCCAAGTGCCTTTCTGATGCACTTGGAATCTGGTAACATACTTCGATCAAATCCTTTTCCTGCAACACCTTTGCCTTACAGAGTGAGGAAAGGATAGAGCAAATGTGAAATAGGATATCGCTCGTGTGTCAGTACTTTATTAGGCGCATGGTGGTCAATATAAGGGGGCTAGTCACGGTCTCTCCTTATTATAGCATGCGGCAGAGAGGCCGACGAACTGCTAGACAGTTGTATAATGCTTAACTGTATATGTTGCGTTTTTTATGTAGTAATAGACACCCGAATCGTATGCTAACAGGTTGACCTTCAGGGACGATTTTATGTACAGCCCTAAGGGTGTGATAACTTGGTTTCCTTATGGTGAGGGATTTCTAAAGAAGGCGCGCATATCTGCCATCTTCAAATTTTGCTCTGCATACACTTTCCAGATAGTAGTCTGACGCAATGCCTTGAATTTAAATGTGACTTTGTGCATCAATCAGCTAACCAACCAGCAGTCTGAAAACATTCAACTAGCCTGCTCGCACTACTGCCTTGGGGACATCAGCGACTAAACAAATTCACGCAAGCTGAGGTCTAAAGTGAGAGACTGATCAATGGACATCGGAATCCACGTTGTTTTTGCTGCTAACGTAGATGACCAACCGGCTTCATTTGTTGTTCTCCTTGACAGTGAAGAAGAGATGACACTGGCCTCAGCTCCCTTATGAACCTCATGAAGCTCTTGGTGTTTGCAGTCTCTATCTGTCGTGTGGATGCTTATGAGTCTTGTATGTGCGGCAATAAAGTATTATTATCAAATACTAGTCTCTGGTGCATTAAACCGAACAAATTAGTTCTATGTTGCCTCAAAACAGACGTACTTAATGGGGCTACAGTAGTGCTACAATGAATGGCCTTTGTTGAAATGATGGTTATATAATCACATAGGTCACAAAAACACTTCATCAGGCGCATATTAGCCTACTGTGTGTTCCAGAAGATGTGAAGTCTCCTTGTCACCAAGCTCCTCAGCAGTTACAATTTGCTGGAAACGTTTTTCGGACTAACGTCTTCCGAACTGCTGCTGGTATGAACTTCTCGCATGGGGCTTCTTAGGTTTCATAGCCAATCAGATCAGCGACTTCAGTAGCAGCTTCTGTACCTATGGGTTCGACAGAAATGGCAAGTCCAAATGGCTCGCAGACAATCCCAAACCTCTAACAGGTTTCTACTACTAGCTACGGTGTGGGTCCACTACGGGCAGAAAACATAAGATACAAAGGTGCGAGTGAATGCGATGATTAATCTACTCAGAGCAATAGGGTTAATGCACACACTTCGGCAGTAGTCTGGCAAAACCCTATGTTAGCCGCACAGTGAGAGATGTTAGCAATAGTAATTGCCATTAAGCCTTTCTAAATATCTTATCGGAGAAATTTGTTCGATGTGATCACACCAGGGGAGCAAAACGTTTTCGCTGGAAGGGCAGCGGCAATTGCTTAGTAATTCTTCTGAGCTGAAACCTTTCCAAGTATCTTCAAAAGGTGATTTCGTTGCAACTACATGTTACCATATAC